GTTGCAGCTATTTCTATAAGATCATGAAGTTAATTTACGATCCTTAATTAAGGTTATTAAAGACAAAGTATTACCCTGAGCTTGAACATGATTCAAATAAAATAAAATGTTATTTTTCTTATTAAAAGGTATTTTTATGTGATGCTTATTAATGTAACGATTGAACGTAATGTAAGGCTACTAATAACAGCGGGCTCTCGGCCCGCTGAACGAGGGAACCGGTGGTCGTGTCGCTGGCGGCCACCGGTCCGGCGTCCGTGGGACGGTGGGATGGATGTAATGTGCTCTGCGTCAACCCTGTCCCGCCGTTTCAATAGCCCCGACTGGGCTCCGGCCCGGTCCGAAGTAGGGCGCCGGTTGTGAGCGGCAGGAGTTTTTAGTGAGGTTCAACTCCCACATACCCCACCTGCCGCGCGGGTGGGGATCCGGCGATTTTCTCCTGTGGAAAAAAAAAAAAAAAAGGCTACTAATAACGCCTCTAAGCTATTTGTTCCTTCTTCGTACAAAGGCCTTAATAAGCAATCGTACATATGAAATAATAATCTTTGTTTTTTTGTAGATGGGAGCAGGCGCGAACGGGCCTGGTGGCCGTCGAGCCCTCGAGCTCATCCTCAGCGGGGGACTGAAGTCGCTAGGGCGTCCAGCAAAGCCCGTGCGCAGGGCTGCGTCCCGTGACTCCGTTCTGTCACAACCGCAGCCCCTGCTTGAAGGTAAGAACTAATCTATCTATCTATCTATCTATATATATAAAAATGAATTGCTGTTCGTTAGTCTCGCTAAAACTCGAGAACGGCTGGACTGATTTGGCTAATTTTGGTCTTAAATTATTTGTGGAAGTCCAGAGAAGGTTTAAAAGGTAGATGAATATAAAAATGCCCGGAATTAAATAAAAATGTCGATTTTGTTTTTTCATTGATGTGTATGTATGATTTAAGTTTATTTTATACAAAAGTTTAAGTCTTTTATTTATCGATTAAGACATTACAAAGTCTGCCGGGTCAGCTAGTCTTAATAAATATTTTCATCATATTACTTGTGTGGCGTTAAAATGCTTGTTGCTTGAAGCTTGCCGCCAACACCTGAAGTCATAACCATGACCACTCTGTCAAGAGCGATACCGACAAAAAGAAGAAAGATGCCAACATGGTTTTATTTGTTGGAAATTAATTTAGTGTTATCGGTCCTTGTTACGTGTAAGAATTGAATAATCATTAATCGATAGGGTATATGTTGGTGAAAATTACATTATAAATTTGCGTGACATGTATATATGTACCTATATATCAAGTTATCCGACACAGGCGACGGGGCAACGCAAAGCCACCGTCGCCCGAAATATGTCTTGTGGGATTCCCCGAATCTACTCTCGGTGGTCTAAGGTCCCTCAAGCACCGGTCACCGTCCTTGTCGATTACGACGAAGAGTTCCACGAGTGAACTAACCCATATACGCAGTCCACTGAGTTTCTCAGTAGGCCGCGGTTCCGGTGGTGGATTTTGCGAAGTACTGTTCTTGCTAGGGCTAATGTTAGCAAATTCTCTCAAGGTGAGCGCGTGAGCTCACCTACTAGTCCGGGCGTAGCTGGTATAGCCCCCTAGACTACCAGGGAATAGGCAGGAGAAAAAAAAGAAACTAATAAAATCGTATTAAAAATAAAGATACCTTGGAAATCTCTTGCTACATTGTAGTTGAAATTAGGTTACTAAAATTAAACTTCCCCAAATATTTTGGCATTTAGATACAGCCGAAAGGGCACTGTTTACATCAAAACATAAATAAATAAAGTTTAATATGAATTGGTAATGGTTCCTGAGAAGCGAGGTTATTTATAATCAAGCGTCGACGTAAATGACGGTTAGAAAAAATAAAATCTAATATTCTTGTACAGCGTGTTTAAAATTTGATGTTTTCGTGTTTACTATATCACGAGTATGAATAATTGCGATGATTAATAATAAAACTTATTTTTATCGCGCTCGTTGTTGTTCATATCGGTATTGTTTGAATACTATATTATTATAAAAAAGTATATACGCAAACGGTTTTCAGGGTTATTCAAAAATCTGTATTGTTGATATGGCGTTTTCTTTAATGTTATTTGGGCGTAAATATCCACCACGGCTGACGCGTTTTAAGAAGTTCTCGACTTTGATAAAGAGCCACAAGCTGAAGAACATCAATCTTGTCACGTGAGATCAAATTTACTGTTGCTATGCCCTCACGAGGCGATAATATTAAAACCTCTATTCATCGATCTTATATAACAAGGAGTAATTAAAAAAAACAGACCAAAGATTTATTCAATTTCGCGGAGATTTATCTTCATCATTTCAAGGTTCAATTACTTCGGAACGATAATAGTATTTTAATTATTTTATTTCAATGTTTTTGTATGGACTTGACCGTTTAGCTCTCGCGTGATCACAACGCGATTGAAGATGTTAAGATTATTCGTTGGACGTTAACCGTGCAATCATAGCAAATCCAAAAATAATTAAATTGTCAAAAAAAAATAATGAATTATTTGACAAGATAATAATCAAGTTATCCTTCAAATAGTTATTTACTATTTAATGTACCTCGAAAATTAATCGTAATTATTCGACAGAGCTCAAAATGTTTTCAATTTCTGCATTTTGTTGCGCAATTTTGCAGAGTCTCGTCGAAATTATATCAGAGTTGTGTCGTCCTCAAAAGGAAACGGGGTGAACTGCCATAAATACTATATTGTTGTTGTGACTGGCGCGCTTCTACTTGGCGGGATGAAATCACGTTTCAACACGATTGGCAATTTATCTTATTGCTGCATGAACTGCTATCTAACTAGTTCCATTGCTTTGAGAGCTACTCTCGTGTTTCGAAGTTAACAAGATTGTCCAGAGTAAAGCTTTTGCGTATTCGAACAGAAAAATTGTTCTTTGTCGAGTCTTGTCCAGCTAACAGCTTACTGCATTTTTTTATTTATTGCTTAGATGGGTGGACGACCTCACAGCCCACCTGGTGTTAAGTGGTTGCTGGAGCCCATAGACATCTACAACGTAAATGCCGCCACCCACATTGAAATATGAGTTCTAAGGTACAGTTACAACGTCTGCCCCACCCTTCAAACTGAAACGCGTTACTGCTTTACGGCAGAAATAGGCGGGGCGGTAGTATCTACCAGTGCAACTCACAAGAGGTCCTACCACCAGTAAAAGCCAGATTAAGGGCAGATTAAAATTTTCATAGTTATTCAGTAAGGTTTTTTTGACGCTACAAAACTCAGACGGTTCAAAACTGTGTTTGAAACATTAAAAAATCTGTTTTGAGTAGAAAGTTGATATTATATATTTTATTAATAAACCAAAATTTGTTTTTTTTGTTTTTTATTGGAACGAAGTTCCTTACGGCAGGCTTGGAGGAGATAGGGATTTTGCTGCACGACGGAACTGAAAAAAATGTGATAGTAAAAACCGTAAGAAAAAGTCTGTGGAATAAGGCCTTGTTTTCCGCACAGCGATATTTCACCGCGCGATTTTTGCTGCGCGACCGAACTGAAAAAAATGTGATAGTAAAAACCGTAAGAAAAAGTCCGTGGAATAAGGCCTTGTTTTCCGCACCGCGATATTTCACCGCGCGATTTTTTTCTCGTAATTCTTTTTTTTTTATATGGAACTTCGTTCCTATCCGGTGTCCCACGACACCACACATCTTTTTATATACGTTTGTCTTCGAACCTTGTAAAATTGTTGTTGGCAGCATCCACGTACGATAAATAGCGCGCTAATCGTTTCTACTCGTATGAGGTATCTTATTTCATATATCCAGCGATGTTCATAACAAAGCATGATTGGCGTTCTTTCGTTAATTANTTTTTATATGGAACTTCGTTCCTATCCGGTGTCCCACGACACCACACATCTTTTTATATACGTTTGTCTTCGAACCTTGTAAAATTGTTGTTGGCAGCATCCACGTACGATAAATAGCGCGCTAATCGTTTCTACTCGTATGAGGTATCTTATTTCATATATCCAGCGATGTTCATAACAAAGCATGATTGGCGTTCTTTCGTTAATTATAAATACTGGTTGGTATAAAGAGCATAATATAGGATAATAATTATCCTTGCCGCTATTCTTTGATTGCTTAAACGAGTGAACTAGCTCTCTTCCCATCTGATGTTTAGTGGTTACCGATAGATGTTACACCTCAGATGTATAGTAAATAATGACGCCATTTTTTTTGGTGCTTTTTATTTATTTTATCGAATATATGGATGGACGAGCTCAGCGTCTACCTGGTGTTAAGTGGTTACCGGAGCTCATAGACATCTACAACGGCTGCCCCACCCTCCAAACCGAAACGCATTACTGCTTCACGGCAGAAATAGGCGGGGTGGTAGTACCTAAGCTCAAGGCTTATGCCTGCATTCAATAGAATGCTTTCTATAGGATCGCTAATTAATAAAAATCGGACAACAAGAAGTAGGTATTGACTTCTAAATAAAAATAGGAAAAACTTTGAATTATTCATGCTTGACCAAGCAGAAATGGCATTCGAACTTTCAAGGCGTTTTCAGCAAAATCAATTTCTGAAAGAAACTGCGTTGTTTCCTTACGATTTTTTTTTTGCCTTTGAAGACAGACAGTCAGTTAGTGCCTTGGTGCAGCGACCCAAAATGGATCTTGGCGTCCGATACCAAGAGACACCATTCCTTGGGGTCCTGCGCCGTTTCCTACCACTAGCTTAGAGTTTTAGCAAGATCCCCAACTATCTGATCTTCACAACGGTACTTGGAGCGCCCGACCGACGGTCGACCGTTTGGTTGTCCGAAATACTCTCTTTTTACTGCACGATCCTGTTCCATCCATTCCACGTAGCCGAGTCAGCGAAGTCGGCTTAATTTAATAAAAAACAACAATATAGTTAAATACATAATATTTTTTTGGTTGGTTTGGTGCTACTGTATTTTTTTTTATATTGTAATCTCGATTCCTAAGCGTGATCACGAAAACCGTAAAGTATTTGAAACATCTGAAATAATTTAATGAAACAAAGAAACTGCAAGACTAATCCGTAATAGTAGTTGTAGAGATGTATTGTTGTAGAAATTTTAGGTTGTGATTTTGTTACAGGCTTGAGGAAATGTTCGACAGTCCTCGCACTGACGGACCGGGAGAAGGTTCCCGAACCGATTAGGGCTCACAACCGACTCCGCGCGCCCTCCGTCTGCTCTCGCTGCTCCTCTCTGCTGTCGCTCGCCGGCGCTGGTGGTTCCAGGTAATAGCACAACCTTTATTTATTATTCTAAAGAGCGTTTTCCTTACCGCGTTGTCATAAGATCGCTTTTTCTTCTCTCTCTCTATTCGTGTGGTATTTTGTAAGTGATCCTATGAACAGCAACGTCTTGGTTATATCAACAATGAAAGTCGTCGTGGCCTAAAGGATAAGACGTCCGGTGCATTCGTGTTGAGCGATGCACCGGTGTTCGAATCTCAGGCAGATACAAAATTTTCTAATGAAATACGTACTCAACAAATGTTCACGATTGACTTCCACGGTGAAGGAATAACATCGTGTAATAAAAATCAAACCCGCATAATTATAATTTGCGTAATTACTGGTGGTAGGACCTCTTGTGAGTCCGCGCGGGTAGGTACCACCACCCTGCCTATTTCTGCCGTGAGACAGTTTTTTTTACCGCGTTGTCATAAGCTCGCTTTCTAGAGATCTTCTCAGTGGGTCGCGTTTCCAATCCGGTGGTCAGAAGCCCTGCTCTTGCTAGGGTCAGTGTTAGCAACTCTCCGGTTGAGCCCCGTGAGCTCACCTACAAACGTTAGGGTGAAGCTGAAATAGCCTCTCAAGGCTATCAGCATAGGTAGGATAAAAAAAGAGAGAAGCTCTATTCGTGTGGTATTTTGTAATTGATCCTATGAACAGCAATGTCTTGGTATATCAACAATGAAATCTGTAGTGACATTTCAAGATAAAAATTCGTTTTGTAAACGTGGCATTTGTCTTTTTTTACTGTTTTTATCGGTAGCTAAGGCACAGTGCTAAAGCATTAATCACATATTAATTACAAGTGTAAGATGGCTGTTATTTTAATTGCGTCGTCGACCTGATAGCACAGTTTCGACGGCGGCAGTAATGTCGAACTGTCTATTAGCGGCAGTGACCGCTTAACATCAGTGTGCTTAGTGCGAGTTTCTTATCGGTCTCGATAGCGTAAAAGTTAAGCCATTTTTGTATGCAGTTGGAACAGCGCCCCTAGCGGCAAACGCACGCAAACGATCCCATTCCATACAAATATGAACTAACTTTTACACTGGTGGTAGGACCTCTTGTGAGTCCGCGTGGGTAGGTACCACCGCCCTACCTATTTCTGCCGTGAAGCAATAATGCGTTTCGGTTTGAAGGGTAGGGCAGCCGTTGTAACTATACTGAGATCTCAGAACTTATATCTCAAGGTGGGTGGCGCAATTACGTTGTAGATGTCCATGGGCTCCAGTAACCACTTAACACCGGGTGGGCTGTGAGCTCGTCCACCCATCTAAGCAATAAAAAAAAAAACGAGAACCATAAAAAACTCGCACTAAGCACACGGATTAGCCGTGAGCTCTTCTACTCATCTTCATTAATAAGGTTGTAGCCTCGTGATTGTGTTGTGCTTCAGATCTATCTTCAATGGTGCTCACGCTTGAATACTTTCAATCCACTTGCATATAATATTAAACAAAGACAAATATATGAGTCGACTATTATCAAAGCCGGCAATCTGACTTTTGGGCAATGATTGGTAAATCAGAAAAACGAATTATTGACTTTGTATTCCATTGGCAGTCACAAAACTCTTCGGAACGACATCTTAGATAAATAACAGGTTAACTATTAACCTTTATTTAATGCAGGTTTTGAACCGTATTCTTTGAAGGAGACGATTATATTCAAATCAATCCGTATTGACATATCAATAAAAAAAATTTGTCCAAATGCACAGATTGCCACCTTTGATAATAGACGACTCATATCCAATGTTCGTAATATTAACGATTTAATTGAATACGGTACCATTATTTGATGTAAACATCAACACTAAAACCGAACTACAAACCCATTTGTGATAACCAGATATTATGATTATTTCAAAACTATTTTAAAGCTTAAAAACAAATTAGCATTAATCGAACCAGTACTTAACATAGCTAACGGGTAAAGGCATTAATTTTGTATCGGCTTACATTCGGAATCGTCTGTGTGTTAATTAAAAATATTCCCGTAATATAAGTAAGTAATCGTTATTATTAATCGTTTCAAAAAAATGTCAATGTTTTTAAGTTTAAACACGAGGACGACAATCAAAAATGATAATAAATTTTATCATTAAAAGAAACGAAAACTCGATTCCATTCCGAAAATACTAACTTTTAATAATTTTAAAAACTACAAAAACCCGTTCGAATAGCAAACCGAATAAACAATTAATTTCATACTTTTATCTTATTGGGTAGAAAGATGAAATGGACTGGTCCGAATGATAGAGCCAAGTTAAAAAAAATTGTTTTGTCATCGGTCCTTGATGCGTTCGCAAATTTTCAAGTTAATCGATTACCTACAAAGCAGACTTAGTGAGCAAAGTAATTAATTATGCATTCGGATTTATAGGGTACGAAAATATCCTGGTTCCAATAATTGGTTAGTCTTGAAGTCGGTTGAAGCGTTGTACCCCTGGGAGTACGCGGAGTTCCATTGAGCCTACCCACGTAAAAGTTATGTTTGTAATGACGGAAATACTGAAAAATTAAAATAGTTAACTAATAGAAACATTGTTGTTACTTATTATGTTTACAATATGTAGTTTAAAATGAACCTTATAAGTCAAAACATACTTAAGAGAAACGAGACACATTTTTAAGAGCAGATATGAATATAACTGTAGAACGGTACTCACAAATGAAAAGTTTTATTCAGGGGCAAGGGAACGTAAAAGTTTTGGAAACACTGGTTTAAGAAATAAGATCAAAACCTTCAAAAGTTCCATAGAAATAACCAATAGGATATCTAATGACTTGATAATTTTACACTTATATTTATCTTAGGTATTCCCTGGACGGTGCCGGCGGTGGCTTCGTTGCAGCCGCTCCGATCAACTGCAAGCTGTGCCTTGAAGACGCGACCGCTGACAAAGTCACTATTATAGGCGGCTGTGGTTGCACATTCTGCACTAAGGTTAGTGTCACTATTTGACGATACACTTTTAAACCTTTACTTTTTATCTTTTTTATTATTTTGGATATCTATAAGCAAACATACATACATAATCTTCGTGTGCAGAATCGAAATGACTTGCAAAGTATTCATACACATTTGACATTAGAATAAAATATGGTAAAACGTCATTAACCTGTACAAAAACATTTAACCCTCCAACCATAGAGGGTCGTCGTAAGCCCCATTTTCCGCGAACCCTTCGAAAGGATTCTAATTAAGTTGAACAAACAGTACGCCGTCTACATAGTCGTGACAACCCTAATCTTATTAGTCGAATCGCGTTGAGGTAAACGTTTTCCTTTTCATACATTAATTTGTTGAGCTGTTAGCCCTAGTTAGCGCCTGAGGCCAAGACGCATACAATAGTTACGTCAATCAAACAGTCTGGTCTAGTTGTGTGCTTGTCACAATTTCATCACGATTATATCCTTTAGCCGTTCAGGGTGCGCACACAATCGATCCAGACCAGTTATGCTGTCGCAGTTAATTCAGAAGTTGTAAGCGGTATACAACTCTTGAACCTGTCTCTTTATGATTTTTGATCGATGTCGTGTCAATGACCTCCTCATTTCTATATATTCACATTGACTTTTGATATGCAAATACTTGTTCGATTAAAAATGCTAAATGTGCGACTGTCTTAAAAAGCTCGACTTATGGTTTACGATCCCTGAGACACAGCGCGCTGAATTTCTCGCCGAATCTTCTCAGTGGGTCATGTTTCCGATCCGGTGGTAGATACTGCGAAGCACTGGTCTTGCTAGGGCAGGTGTTAGCAAACTCTCAGGCTGAGCTCTAAGAACTCGGTCCCTAGTCCGGGTGAAGTCAAAATAACCCCTCAAGACTACTGGTAGATAGTTAGAAAAAAAAAAGGTACGGTTGAGTGATTATTGTTAACATCATCAACCTTTAGAACCTCTGGGATATTGTTATGCCCTATAAATTCGGACGTATAATTGCTTTGCACTGATACCAAGCCGTACTGACTCGATCTAAATATAATTTCACATTGTAATTTGACAGAACGATCGACCGTAGAAAGAAATGCGATCGGTGTTAAAAAGAAACACTACATATTTAATTTGCTAAATTTCCTATCGAGATATCTCTATATTAATACGTGAAGCAAAAACTTTGTATCCCTTTTTACGAAAATTGCGCGGACGGAGGAGTATGAAATTTTCCACACTTATAGAAAATATAGAGAAGAAGTGCACAATGCTAATTTTTTTTTAAAGAATGCATAAAATGTACATTAAATCAATAAAGAAAACATTACACACACTACATACCATGTATTTGACGCACACACGCATGCATACTATTTATTGTCAAACTTTTGTTCTTGGCGTCTGTTGTCAAATTGAGAATAGATTAAACATTGTTTGTCTTTGTTAATATTTTTTATAGTGTAGTCTTGGCGAAATTTTTGATTATAGAAGTATAAAATACAATCATAATAGTGTACAAACTTACAATTCCAGTTAATTATAGTCGAATTTCGACTACTGCGGGACCTCTAGTAATTAATTAAAACCCGCATTATAAAATTCCAAATTTCGAATTAAAATAGAACAAACACAAAATTCATTTCAAATTTAATGAAACATAGAACGAAAAAATTCCACGGCCCGCTAAGAAATTTCTAGAGCATTCATGGCCGACGGCGCGTCACTTGTTATTGACCCAATGCATTATCGGTATTTATATATATTATGTATGTATGTATATAAAAACATTATTATTGTTTTAAAAGTATCTATTATGCCTACGTGTATATTAGACGTTGGCGGTCGTTGAACTTAGGTTTAGTCCATCGCAATTGACCTAGAACTTGATCGCGTTGGCCTCGAAATTGTGCCCGTGTCTGTCTGAATAAGTGGAGATATTCCTTCTTTTTCGTGTTGCATAGTAAATTCGCAATGAACGTAAATCATATGGATGTATCCTTAATGAATAATCTCTACCGAAAAGTATAATCTCTTGGTTCGATTTAGAGGGCAGACAAGTCGGACAGGAAATTATTATACAATAACGAATGTTGGACGGAGACCGACTTATATGGGATTAATTATTTATTTCAATAAAACCTGATTCGTCTAAATGCGCTATTAAAAATGTCTAATCTTCGTCGAATCATCGAAATGTCAAATTTCGTAAACATAATCCCCTGACACTTCAAGAGTTTTATTCGTTTTATAGACCGACATTTATTCTTTTGTGGTTATACCTTTGTAGAAAAGAAAATACACAAATGCTTAAGGCTTCGTCACAGCAACTTCAAAATATGTGGAAATCGTATGACAACCAAACAATGGTACTTAACGTATTGCGTTTGTGTGCCTTTATATAAATGAAGCTAATTAATTATATTACACTTCTCCACTTGTGACGTGTAAAAATATTATTATAAGTAGCTTATATTTTCAGAATCTTGAAGATAGTCACGTTGGTAAGGTATTTATAAAACAACACTTTGAAGCATCCATGGCATGGTGATGCAAATATACCGTACTTAAGTCCCTAAATCTGGTGGCTACATTTCTGAAATACAAAACTGAGATAAATTGCTTCACAATAGACGAATAACATTGCGTAATAAAAATCAAACTCGCAAAAAAATATTATATAGTTTGCGTAATTACTGCCGGTATGGCGGGGCGTCTTGTTAAACCGCGCGGGTGAGTACCACGAGCCTGCCCATTTCTGCAGCCAAGCAGTAATGCTGAGTTTGAAGCTTGAGCGTAGCCGTTAGAACATCGTTATATCTAACCGATAACCACTTAACGCCGGGTAAGCTGTGAGATCATTCACCCATCCACATATCAACATGTTCTTACAAAACAACTGTAGTACAACTAAATGTATTCTATTTTTGGCTGCCTAGTGACTGGTGTTGTAAATATATGTATGCAAATGACGTTTTTTTTAAATAACAACGATCCGTATGACATCAGCTAATCGGTAAGCCGGTTAACTGGTTAGGTTTCTTTGTTGTACATGGCGAAAAGTATAGTGGATAGAATGTGGGTAGGACATCGCCATAATCATTATCGTATCGATATCATCGTCTTATATCAATACAATTGTAGTCCTCTATCTCGAGTTGCGCGCCAAGAGCTGTTCCGGCTTCCACTGAGTTAAGCAAAGGCTGTCTTGAAATTTCGTTCTTCGAAGAAAGGTTTCTTATAGCCCTCAGGTAACAACAACACGGAACGAGGCCGATGAATTCCGTTAGCGAATTAACAAAAATCGAATTCAATAAAATACCCAGTTGCAAAGTCACTTAAAAGCAGCATCGAAATCGTGTTTTAAAATCTAAAAATAACTTGAGAATGTTCATTATAAAATAAATCGACCTCGCTTTTGTCTTGTTTGAAAAAAAAAATCTATCTCGATTCTAAAAATAACTGTTACCTTAGTAATATTATTATCTATGCGTTTTTGATTAGTTTATTATGTGTACACATGTACATTATCAGTGTCAACAACTCGTGAGTTTCATGAGCACTTTCACTGTCGTATAAAAACTGTATTTATTCGGATAGTGCAAGGTAATGTATTAAATCAGGACTCGTATGGTATGCACGTGTACGCGAATGACTAAAGGGGATGAACGATCCGTTAAGCTTTCAAAGGATTGTAAATGGACGCTATCTGAAACAAAAATAATATTGATATAGTGACAATACTCGTCATTTTGGTATTCAAGTTTCATGAACACGTAATGTAAAGCGATTACAGCTCTATTTGCATTTCACTGCGTGCTATGCAGAAATAAAAAAAACAAAATCTTAATTTTAGAAATCCTACAACCTATCTTCATTTTCGTGGACGGTCTTAACACAACTTGCTTGCGTAGAGTGCATTGAGTTTTATAGTTGCCGGATCGACACGCAATAGCCGCCGAGGTTAAATCTCATCTTTATATGTATGTAATTATATTTTCTCCTACTAAATAATATTGCAATGATAGTAAGGCAGCGTGCAAGATCACAAATGGCTTACTACACTGCAATCCGGCGAAGCTAACATTAGTGTGCTTAATGCGAGTTTGTTAACGTTCTCGATAGCGTAAAAGTTAACTCAAATTACCGGTTGACGAATAGGCCGTTGAGCTTCATGGATGAGCGTGAATGTGCTGAGCGTCAATGCAATTGAAACATCCCCGTAAACCTAGACTTCATGTCTCAGGGCGAGTGGTGGTCGTTATAGCATTTCATCGCTTTGTATGTATTTCGACTGCTGTTTGTAATGTTAATAATGTAAGAATTTTCGACCGGTCGGTGACCCATTCGTTTTTATGAGGCGTGTGCGCGTTTTTACTGTTCTATTTTCGTAGTTCAGTAATGAAGTCTATATTATTATTTCGTGTGTATTTATTTAAAAAATGCCGTTGATAGATATCTTTAAATTTGAGAAAAATGGGCAAGTTGAGTTTCGGTCCGAATCCGAATTTCGATCCAAATTTGGAAAGATCGACACAAAACATAAAATTTTAGCATTAATTTGCTTAAGTTTTTTTCCTTGAATTAGAAACGGTCATTAACTGAAAATAATCCATATATTTTATAGTTTTCTTGTTTTTTTTTTCACCTTAAATATTGTGTCTATCTTATTAGACTTTATTTAACTGTTTAATTAAGTTTTTGTATGGGGTGCTTCCCCTTATATTTGTTTAATTTATTAATTTCGATAAACCGGTGTGTGGATAAATCGTTTTAACTTGTTTTAGCCTTTGTACACGACAACACTAATATCTAAAGTTTCTATTCTGCACTTTATTCACACTTGTGTTCAGTCGATCCTTATCAAATCAATTTTTGTACTGAGTGTTCTCCGAGAACAATTATAAAGAATTATTCTTGACCATTCTTGAACCAGTCTCTGGATTTTCTGAGAAGAAAAAAGAAGCCTCTGTACATATCGTGCGACTGCTGCGCCATATACAGTAAAAG